GCTCATGGTTCTCTCATCTTTCGAGCCAGCCTTTTTTTTTTTTTGCCAGCATATTTCGAACCAGTTCGTTGCTACCCGTTGAGAAGGAGAAGGAGGACTCTTCCTTCAACTGGTTCTACTCCTCCATTACCACCAGTGCCCTGCTTCCATTTGTGTGTATTCTGACGGTAATGCTTTTGAAGACTCGCCAGATTGGTGGGAGGTGTGGAATCTGTGAAATAAGAAATAAGTTGCCACTATCAAAATGAGCACATACTAACAAATGAAATTACAAAGTTGGACGCCCAGCACCAATAATCTAATTGTTGAAACAATCCAACTAGCACGTCTCAAACTACTGATATAAGTAATCCAGTTGTTGAAACAATCCAACTAGCACATCTCAAACTACTGATACAAGGCTATCTTTTCCCCTTAGATTTTTAGGGTAGAAGATACTTCATTTGAAGAGATTTTCAGAAATAAATTAGCACTCAACAATCATGACTTTGAATTTGCTTCGTGTGTTTTTTCTTTATATCACAGACCATGTCAATAGTTTTATTGATTGTTTTGTTCAGGAGAGATACGAGGTCGTTAAATAAGTAGTAGGTGTTGACAAGAGGTCTAATGTAGAAAATTTTGCTCAAGGTTGTTGGGTTATACACATCTTTGATTATATAGGTGCCTATGTCATCTTCCTTGTTAAAAATAGGTTTTAAGATCAAGATATGATTAATTGGTAGTACAACCACCAGAATGTTGTCAGTTGAAGAAGGAGCCTTTGTGCCCCTGAACTGTTTTCCGGAGAAAAAGAGAGAGAGAGCCATGAGCCTTTTAGTGGGAGAGAGAGACCACAAGCATTAATTGATATCTATGGAGCTGCTTCAATACCACGTAAATCTCTATCATCATAATTCACCGTGTTTGGGTGGTTAATTAACAGGAGGACTTGAAGTTTTAACGGAATGAGGATTTGATAAAAAGAAATAAGATGAGAGGTATCTGATTCAAAATCTTAAGAAACTTTGAGCATTATCAAATTAATTATCCCTTAATTAATTACCAATCACCAATTATGAATGAGCACAATGCTGGTACATCCATAGTTAGTATAACATGACTTTTTTTTTTTGACCAGCATAGTATAACATGACTTAGCTTTTTAAGTAATTTATTAGAATAAGAAATTGTAGCTAACTCATTAAATTTGTTTTAAGTTGAAAATTTTTTCAACGTTACTCATTTTAATGAGGCTGCAGAGAAGAGAAAAAAAATACAATAAGTTACATTTAAACATGAATTATAAAAACAAAACTGACAAATAAACATTAATTACCTTTCATCTCCAAGTGATTTATATTTTAAACCAAACCATTTAAAACCGATTTATAATTTTGGGGAGGAGAGAATACGTTTCTTTGCTATTTTAAAAGATATAGGATGTATTTTGCCTCGCACGTATATTTTGATTTAAAAAGCCAAAAAAAAAAAAGAACATGTATGTTGTTTACCGTCAAAAATATGACCAGAGAGAAACTATTAGAGGCGTTAAATTGAAAAAAGGTGAGTTTTCGTACGGAAAAAGCTTTTTCAGGTTTCGCATGATGCGCCCCGCATCAGTGGCGGATGCGCCTCTCACCACTTCACACTACGCTTTATGGGGCCAGGCCACTTTTGCCTTCCTCTTTTTCCAATTGATGATGATCTCCAAAATATTCCTACCTTCCGAAAATTCCCTCAAACCCCCCCCCCCAAAACTTTTATTTTTCCCCCCAATTCACCCTCCCACCGTATTTACTCAACAATATGCATACCAATGTTACGTTTGGAAAATAATACTAATTATTACATAAATTTTGTGAAATGATCATGGAGAGCTTTGAAGCGATCACTCATGAATAGGAACTGAGGTAGTAATACCTTATTTTAACATGTTACAACAAATATATTTATAAAAAAAAAGAATCCTATTTACATGAAATGGTCAGCACGATGTTTCAACCAATTTTCCCCATCTTTTGAACAATGACCGGGCATACAAGAAACAATATAAACTATTGTAACGAACAAGAACTAAGAAACATTTTGTTATGCCATTCGCAGCAAAACTTTCTGATTACCTTTTTTATGGTCTGGGGAATAAAAGCATGCCATCCATCATCTATTACGGTTCATATATAACGAGACAATATTCGGCCATGATCTTGATCCCTGAGGGCTCATAGCGGTGGTGACAAATAATACTGCCATCAACTGGAAGGAAGTGGGAGTACAGCAGATTTCTGACCCCTCCTTCATAGTCCTGAACAAGTGATTTCCCAAGTCCTAATATCCAGGCACATTCTGTTGTTGCACTTTTTTTTTTGGGGCCAAAATATAGGTATCCTTCTATTAGAGGCAATTCTATTTAACGTATTATCAGGTACTAAATGTGGACATCTCTCCCAGCAGGAATTTAAACCTTGGTTAGCCATGTTGTGAGGGACTAACTTTTTTGTTAGACCCAACTCTCGTTGGTTTGTTGTTGCACTTTTTAATACAAGGAATTAAATGCAGATTTAAAAGAGTGCTGCTGTGTTAGGTTAGTTCAGCTCACAAAAGTGAAGTGAATTGTGTATGGTGGTCAGATGTTCTCTCATTCCAGATTCTCTCTCTCTGTTTTTTTTTTTAAAGAAAAAAAAAGTTCTGTGATATAGCACCGACGATTGAATAAAGAAGTGTCAAGGCATGCTAAAATTTGCATGGGCCTCTAGGCTCACCATTTATTGGGCCTCTTACACAGATCAGTTCTTTGGGCTCATCCTTTCTCACGTGGGGTTTCCCAAGAGGGCCACACGTCCCTTTTTTTGGGTAAAAAAAATCATGTTGACCAACGGGGAGGGAAATCGAAGGCAGCATTTCTCAAATTACCAGGGCGATGGAAATTATAAATATTTCACAAGTAATTTGGGATTCTGATTTCGGAAACGTTTTATATTCGGAGCCCAAGTTCTGGCAGAACCAATTTTAAATTTGTTCAATTTAATCAGCGACATTCGATCAACTCAGGCACGAAACAAAAGTCTACAAGTGTTTGATATCGCCGTGATTCCGAATTAGAGGGATTAAAACCCACAAATGGTGTATGATTAACATTAAGTCACCATCATTACCTAATCTTATTTTCTATAATTCTTTGTGTTTTTGGGGCTAGTCTTGCTTGAATCACCTTCCTTTTGAATAATCAAGGATGGGAAACTATTCATTTTGCGCCAATTTTTCTTGCCCCCGTTTCTGACAGATGCTTCGGAACGTGTAGCGTCGGAATCCAACCCCAGTATTGACTTACATAATTATGGGCGTTAGTGGGATTCCGGATTAATTATTAAATTATGCACAAACCCCGCCGTTTAAAAGTACGGCTCCATAAGACAATACTGCGATTGTCATAATGGCATTTAAAACCCAAAAAAAAAAAGAGAGAGAGGAACAAAGTTGCACAATCAGAAAGCCAGACATCTGTTGCTTTCCCCTCGTTACTTATGGGCATATTCCCTTGAAATGAAAGGCTCCATAATTGATAAAACACAATTATTTCTATTGGGGGCTATGCCATTATACTTTACTCGTTTTAGGTGAGATTGTTATATATCCAGGGGAAGCAACCCAGAATCGCCTTGGGAAAGATTTCGGATTTCCCAACCCTTCCCAAACATCCCTCCCCCCGGCCCAAAAAAAAGTGAAATCATAGATCCAATTACTGTGTGCTAAACGTCGTGGCCGTACATACAATACGAACAATGAGAAAAAGCTAAGTGAGATTAATTACAATTGTACGTGGCGGGCATGGGCATTCGGCAACGGGCAAGTCCTTTTGAAATTCAAACGCAAAAGAAAGGAGAGAAAAGAAAAAGAAGGAAAAGAAGCGAAAAAGGAAAAGGGAAGGAAAAGAAGATAATAATAATGGAAAAGGAGGTTAATGATTCAATAAACCAGCGAGGTGAGTGGTGAGGCTGTCTGGTGAATGATGAAGCGGCAGGTGCGTGGGTGGTCATCCAAACAACCATTATTATTATCACTGGTGGGTCTCTATTACCTTCCATCAATCTCCCCTCTAAACCACCTAATTAACTTCTCTCTGTAAAACTTCATTTTACTCCAAGATTCATTCCCCTCCCTCCTCTCTCTCTCTCTCTCTCTCTCTCTATTATTCTATTCTTGCTTATATATGTGTGTGTGTATATACTGACGCATCTTCTTCGTCTTTAGCACTTTCTTTCAGTTGTGTCTTTGTCCTGCGGCTAAAATTGCTCAACAATGCACTTTGTCCCTTTTAGGGACCCTTTTAATTTCTCAGTGATTTGCACCCCAATATTTTACTTTATTTGAAGTGGAAAAAGCAGCCAGAAAGGAGTAAAGAATGAAACTGAAACTGCTTCTGAGTTCCCAAGCATCATAATAAGGGGGGAGAATTACAATTAAGTTTTTTTAAAATAATTATTAAAAAGTCTTAAGGACAATTTAAGCAATTTGTAAGGATAAATTCTAGAGTAGAGAATGACAACTCGTGAGATTTATTTTGTAATTTTTTGTTAGGACCTCATAAGAATTACAGGAAATGGCAGCACAAGGATGCCTCAAATTAACATTAAAAATATCCTGAACCAAGTAAGAGTAACGACTTAACGGAACGTTTCACGAATGAAGAGAGAAAGAAAATTGTAGTTATAAAAGAAACACAGAAAATGCGTTCTGGATTGTGGACGACGTTTGAGGAAAAAAATCCCCAAAAAAGAAAAGAAAAAAGCGAAATGAAAGGGCCCCACACACATGCTGTTGACTTCTCGCGATAATGTTTTTGGCCGGTAAATGAACAGATGATTATTCCTCCACGAGTCCAATGTTCTTGCTTATAATAGTTCGGGCCCCACCAAACCAAACCCTCTCACAATCCAAACCACAACATGTCCTTCGTTCTCTTTTCAGAGTCATTAAGACGTTAAGACATACACACCCCTCCCTTTGCTTCTGTTTTACAGAAACATTTGACAACAGAGGGGAGAGAGAGAAAGTGAGTCATCGACACAGAATCTCTCTCTATTTCTACCTCCGACTCTCTCTCTATCTATTCCAATCAAGCATGCCCATCCTGAACCATGCGGTTTATTACAATTCTGTCCCTTTCTGTTTCCTTAATTCCCAAGTTGTTGCCCCTCTAGCTCGGTCAGCTTCAGCTATCTCTCCTGCTCTGAATTCTCGTACTCATGGCTGTCTCCGACGTCGGAGCTGTCCTAGAATTCTTGAGGAACAATGGCTTTACAGAGGCAGAGTCCGCCCTCAAAGAGGACGTCATAGAAAAGGGTGATACCGGCTCGTTCGACTACGAGAAATTCTTCTTCCCGATGGTACCGCCGCCTCCTCCGGTCAGAGTCCGATCATTTTCCGGATGTTCGGAAAGGCAATATGGCAGAGATTGCTCGAAATCAAGCTCTAAGTCGTCGGACGATGAGTTTGTGAGCTTGGGCTCATCTACCTCGGGTGCTTGTTCTTCAGGTATTTCTTTTCCTTATTATTGGTTTATACTTTAGAATTCTGTTTAATCCCAATTATTTGCTTATGTTCATCAATGATCATTCTGTATTCTATTGATGCGGGGCTTGGTGGCTTACCAATAACTGTCCTCTGTTCTGCTGCTTGAGTAAGTGAAGAAGGAGGAAAAAAACTCCGAAATTAATGCTTATGTTTATTCGACTGTAAGAGCACGCAATTCATGCATTTGATACTAGTTAAAAATGCGTTCATTATACAAGTGAGAGCACTTTTATTCTCTTTGATCCGATCTTAAGTGACGAGAGATTCTTGTTATGAACTTCTGCTCTATTTGGTCGTTGAAATGTTCGGCTTTGATGGTCTTCACGAGTTGAATAATGGTTTTTCAACAGAATTCGATGTGTTTGGCGCTTTCTCTTTGTATATGTTGGATCACACAATGAATAATCCAACTTAAGATTGGCATCCCCCAACTATCCTCTCAACTGACATCATCATCTTCTCTTGTGTTCTTGGTTCATGTTCATATCATTTCCCCAGTTGCATTTTTTGGTGTGGCTGTTCAAAGGACGTTGGTGAAATTATTAGCCTCCGCAAACATTAACAAGTTTCTTGAGAAACGATCAAAATTATTAGCTAATTCTTTACGTTTATTAACTTGTCGTTTACGATAGTATTTTCTACAGAAAATTTTTTCACTTTCTTTTCCCCTTTTTAATCACCTTCGCATCTGAGCATCCTGAAACTTTGTTTTGCAGAATTCATCAATCCATATGGAATTCGATCCTCATCCCAAACTCGTAAAGATTCTGAATCTTCGTCAGATAGATTATCTCAGTTCGGCACAGCACGTGATTACCATGACTTTGACATGCAAAATGAACCGTATTGGTATAATGAGAAAGATGATGACGATTTCATGTCCCCCAGTTTTGATGGGCCAGAATTCTTTGGCTGTCAAAGTGAGGATAAGTTCATCATGACATCAGAAATGGAGAATCAACATGAAAATCACCTGGAAAATAATTACAAAAGTGAAGTATTCCAAGTGGAGGGAAATGGTGATTGCATGGACAAACTATGCCTATATAATCATTCTGATGTAGGAAATGAAAATGTGACTTGTTTACAAGACTTTTGTCATATTGATAAGAAAGAGCAGCTTGAAGGAGGATTAGTTGGAGAGGTCGAGAATCCTACTTTTGTCTATAACTGTGAAGTTCCATTTGGCAAGCGCTCTGCGGGCTCAGGAGAGCCTTGTAATGAAGATCCTAGTAACGACCGCTGCCCAAGTTTAAAGGAAATTCATCCGAATAATTTGCATTTAAAGTTTGTTGGGGATAGTTCCTCTACGGATTCTGTTCCAGAGCATTCTATGGATGAAACTTCTGACCTCTGTCCTAAAAGTAACAGCAATAAGGTGTACAAAGCTCCCTATGACTTAACTATTGAAATTGCTGAAACAGATCTGCCAAATGGACTGGCCAGGTGTAAAGCTCAAGATTGTGGAGAATTCACTGAAGAATGCCAAGATCCAGAAAATGCAGCAGATGGAGAAGATGTTACTGATGATGAGCTTTTAAAGTACGCTCACGAGGATGAATATGAGGTATTTGACCTGAGAATTATACATAGAAAGAACAGGTATGTTTCAGATTGTTGCGTTCAATCTTTTCATTCCCATCATTTTAGTATTCCTGGAGATACAAGTGAATAATTAAATTTAAATGTTAGAGATGATAAAACTTCAAATTGACAGTCACTTCCTTAGCTATCTAGTTTTGTTCACTTTTTCCCCCCGGAATACTTTTGTTCACTTTGGTTCAGACGCAGACTTCTTTGTGGTCAAATTTGTATTATGACTATGTCCTTTTTCTCCCCCTGAATTATGGCTCTCTGCTATTGTTTATTAGTTCTTTACAGTGATTCACAGGTATTGTGTACATTTAAGTTTCATTTGTACGTTATTTCATCTACAGGACCGGATTTGAAGAAAGCAAAGATCTACCCATTATGCTGAATACAGTCATAGGCGGCAGGTACTATGTGACAGAATATCTTGGTTCGGCTGCCTTCAGTAAGGTTGTTCAGGCACATGATCTTCAGACAGGAATAGATGTTTGCTTGAAGATTATAAAAAATGACAAAGACTTTTTTGACCAAAGCTTAGATGAAATTAAACTTCTAAAGCTTGTGAACAAGAATGACCCAGCTGATGAGCACCACATATTGCGACTTTATGATTACTTCTATCATCAGGTATTCCTTGAAGGTTGAATATACAGCTGCGATTGCTTTCATGTAAGCTATATAATATTTGATGCTTCCACTTCAGTTTTAAATATTACTGACTAGTCTTATATGGAAACTTCATAGGAGCATCTATTCATTGTTACTGAGCTTCTGCGAGCAAACCTATATGAATTTCAGAAATACAATCAAGAATCTGGTGGTGAGGCATATTTTACGCTGAATAGGTTGCAGGTTCGTTCAATATTCAGACTAAGAACTTGGCGCTTATTCCACACAACTGCTTCTATTTTATTTAATCATTTATTTGTTTAAATATTATAACACCTGATATATTTCTGAACTACAATATTTGTCTCTATAATACTGATAGTCTATTGTTAGATAGTTAAATTAGCAATTTCAGTTTCATGGAAGTTTCATTTGGTGAGGAGTTTTGAGAACAAGATTATTGAGGTTGTGTTATTGCTATTTGCAGGTCATTACTCGTCAATGTTTGGAGGCCTTGCAATACTTGCATAGCTTGGGAATAATTCACTGCGATCTAAAGCCAGAAAATATTCTCATTAAAAGTTATAGAAGATGTGAGATTAAAGTCATTGATCTAGGAAGCAGTTGCTTTCAATCAGACAATTTATGCCTATATGTGCAGTCGCGATCCTATAGGGCCCCTGAAGTGATGCTAGGCCTCCAATATGATGAAAAGATTGACATATGGTCTCTTGGCTGTATATTGGCTGAGCTATGCTCTGGTGAGGTATGTCCTAATTTGCCTCAGTATGATATTTTTCTATGTTATGCAAGTGGTATTTTGGGCAAACTACAAAATTTGGAGAAATTTGCTGATTGTTAATCTAGTTTTTTGTCTTCTCAAGGTGCTCTTTCCAAATGAAGCTGTTGCAATTATTCTCGCGCGCATGATTGGGATGCTTGGTCCTATTGATCTGGAGATGTTAGTTAAGGGGCAGGAAACTCACAAATATTTCACAAAAGAATATGATATTTACCATGTAAATGAGGTGCGTTCCCCATTCGAACTCCTTTACGACTATCCGCTTTTAGAATCAGAAATTCAGCGCTTGCATTTTTAGTTCTATAAATGAAATATATTCCTTTTTGACTCACTTATTTAGCAACCAGACCTAGTTCTATTCTTTTGTTGCTATAAGAGTTCAGTTCTTATTTGTGCATTTTCTCTGCGGGATATGATAAAATTTATGGTTCCGCACTGTACTCCACTGCCAAATTTATGATAAAATATGCAAATAAAAATAGACAAAAGATCAGATATATCAGTACAGAGTTGCGTTCGTCAACAAAATCTGCATCTCAGATGTTTCCAACATAATTCCTGGCATTGTTCGCAGGAGACAAACCAACTGGAGTACATAATTCCAGAGGATTGGCCGTTGGAGCAGCACCTGCAGGTTTCTGATATGATGTTTATTGACTTTGTCAGATTCTTGCTTAGCACCAATCCCAGAAGGCGACCAACTGCAAAACAGGCACTAAAGCACCCGTGGCTTTCCTATGTTTATGACTCCCGGTAGAGCACCCATTCATCTCCTGAATGGATGCTTACTGATTCTGATGCAGTTATATTACATGAGTCATGGAGCATCTTGCATACTGGAGTTTGCAGTCACAGTTTTGGCTTTCGATTATATTAAAGAGCAACATCATTTCTTCCCCTTTTATCCTGTACATTTTTTATTCTCTTCCCGTTCATTAAGTACTTTTGTACAGAACAATGTGCCCATTGATTTTGCCTTCAGGATGGGGAGACTGAGCATTGCTCAAGAAGAAAAGGAAAGGCAGAAAAAGAAAGAAACAGATAAAGAAAAACTGATTCTAAATGTTGGGGATGCAAACGCCAAAGCGCGAAAATAATTCATTTGCGATCTGACGTTGTCATATATATACGGAAGAAGGAAGAATATTTTGGCTATATGCGGTTAATGTAGTATAATCCAAGTGCATTTTTTCAAATATATGATACAACTAAATGCATATCCATACACAAATATATCAATTTTGAATTTGAACCTAGAACCTCATTCAAGCGTGGCGGAAGGCTTTGTTGTTAGGACAACTATCATTGAGACATTGACGGCATAATCTAAGTACTCATAAACACTTCATGCATGAATTTTCCCAATGGCGTGATTTTATCTGAAAAATGTTCAATGGCAATTTTGCCATCTTCAATTCCTCATAGATAAAATTGTAATAGGAAAGTATCTGTATAATAATGGCGCACTCACCAATGGAGTTTTTTCTATTCACTTTATAGGTAGGGTAAGAAACCCTAGAATACAGGAACATGTATACACGTCACGTACAAAGAATATACTCGAACATTGACAGCTGTAGAATAAAACAGACACTGGACTTTTAATATTGGGCTTGCGTCGACTATTGGGTTCAACTGGAGGCTGATCTTGTAGTACTCTTAATCACTCATCTATCAGAAAGAGAGAGACGTTGATTGAATTTTTTTTTTAAAATATTTTTTCTTCTGATACTATTTGAATTGTTTGGTTAGTTCATCAATATGAAATTTACGACATTTTATATCATTCACAAATCACGATACATTGTTACTTATTCTGATCTTTAATATATTAGTTGATCAATTTGAGTAAATTAAGAAATTAGTTAAGTTCTTTATTTGTAATAATATTTTTTTTTTAAATATCCTTATTCAAATGTATTGGTTAAAATTATCATTATTACAAGGAGTATCTCAGAAAAATAAATAAACATAAGTGACAAAATAGATTGAGATCTTATATTTAAGACCCAATAAAATTAAACGACGCTATTATGCTACCTTTAGTCCTTAATATAAGAGTTAGTTGACTATTTGAATAGATTAAAGAAACTAGTTAAATTAGTTATTTGTAATAAATGTGTTTGTTTTTTCTAAAATATCCTTACTAATCAGGTGTATTAGTTATAACTATCATTATTATTAGAATTATATTAAAAAATAAATAAATATGAGAGATAAATCTCTCTGCAAATGCCTTTGCCCTTGCCCTTCATCTTCACCGCATTCCCTGATTGATTAAGTGCAAAACCAATAACAAATCTATCAGCAACCTTTTGATGATGCAGTCGAATCCTTGAGGTCTAGATACAAGATCATTAACTTATATGAGATCATATTTGAAAAAACGAAAGGAGTTTCTAATGATGATTTAACTCTGCATCTTTTGCCGCTCCTTCTTCATCTTTGTATCTTTTCCTTGCTTTAACCTCTCTGCCTTTGCTTCAACTCCATCATTTAGGTTGATCTACATCTTCATCTTTTGCTGCTAGGTCTATTCCATTGCTATGCACTCAAGATCTGAAGCAAGGCAGATTTAAAGAAAAAGACGAAGACTTGTTAATCACCATTGTCGAGGGTTCCAAGAAGGAAGACGGAGATCTGAAGATAGAGATGAGTCGCCATCGTAGCATCCTCAATTTTGCCTCTTTCCAGCATCATCACCGTCACAAGAATGAAAGGGAGGGCGACGCCGGCGTAGTTGTGTATGGGAGTTTCAGAAGTTGATGGTAGAATGGTAGAGAGAGGACGGGGGGCGGGTGACGGGTAATCTGGTCCAAAAATATTTAGTCCTGAGATTGATTTTCAATTACGGGGGGCTGGCAATACAAGATAATAGGGGTGTTCATAGACAGGGTTGGCAGGGCATACCCTTGCCCGATGCTTGGCCCAAAAGATGAGCGGGTTGCATTTTACTGTCCGCTGCCCTGCTCATAAAAGCCCTAACTATTTTTGGGCTGGGCAGGATGGGCTTTTCCAAGCCCAAATAGTGATACTTTGGTGAAATTTTTTTTAGTTAAAGTAAGGGTATCTTATAATAGCTATAAAGAAATAAATACTTGAATAAACAATAAATTTAACAAATCAATAACTTTGATTTGTCTTAAATTGATATATCTTTTAATACAACATTAAAGTGAGCTTGTTTTGCATCTTTGCAAGACAACCAACGATGAAAACAAACGACAAGATACTAAACCAGATTAGAAAAACATTAAAAAGATACTAAAAAGGAAGAATTACACATACTACTAAATATATCTATGGCAAATGGAAGATGGGAGAATAATATATATTATTATATATATTATATGTCATTATAAGTATTTCTGGCAAAAAAAAAGAATTATAAATATATATCACGGGCACGGCAGCATACCTGCCTGCAACCTAGCCCTGCCCATAATATGCCCAGCCCAAAAATACCTATTTTTCTTTGGGTTATTTTTTTTTTCAGGTTGGGCAGGCTATTTTTCCGCGGGCTCAGGTGGGCATACCGGGCTAGCGGGCTTGATGAACAACACCCCTACCAACGAATCCCACAAAAAGTGGTATTGAGCAATCCTGGGATTGCTAAAGTCCATGTACCAAACATAACAAACTGAGCAATACCAATACCAATCCCTGTGCCAATCCTCCCATTCCCTTGTACCAAACAGGGCCTAAAGTTCCAACTTCTTAGTTTTAAGTCAAATTTGGCATTATCAGCGTTACTGTGGAGACAGGGAGGGAAACGATTTGGTCAAACTAGAATTTATGATGAGTATCTAAAACCCTTGTGGCCTAGAGAAGATTCAATGATTCATGAATTGGACCGGGTCGAGCTTTTCAAACAAATGGTACCCCTTTCCAAATGGTTGATGTGTATTTACTTTTACTTCGTAAACACTTAAACATATCGGCTCTGGTTAAAAAAAAAAAAAAGAGCAAATAATGAAATATCGGTAAGTGATCACGAATGGAACCAAGCCACCCGCAGATTGCGAGGAGAGTAGCAACAATGCTGGAGGACAGCCTCCTTTGAACGACGACCCTGACATTCTCTCTTCTCATTGGCCCATTCAGTGCCGACCATATTTTTTGACCTTTTTTCCCCCTTAAAACAAATTCCTTGCATTGTCATATTACCCCTCGTCCCACGCTCCTCATTGCGTGTTTTGTATCTCTCGTCGGTTCCTGCTTTCCCTCGTCCTGAGCTAGAACAGGTAATTGGGGAACGGGCTCGTCCTGAATAAATTTAACAAATTTTGGGATTGTCTTTTGAAAAAAATAATTTTTTTCCATAATTAAGCTTTTTCTTATAAGATAATTGAGTTTTTTTCCTTTCTGCTAAAAAACGCGTATCTTCTAACTAGAGGTTAAACTAATTTAAGCGTGCCAAAAAACATTAAATTAAAATGAATTATTTTAATAAATATTTAGCTAATATAATCATATTCATATACTAAAAAATAAATATTAATTATGATAATTGTAGATCAAAATAGAATCTAAATTGTTCTAAGAATCACATTTTTTTTTCTAAAGAACATATCATTAAAAAGTAATTATAAATTTCATTTTGAAAATGAAAATAAAATATTATTTAAAAATGTATTTGAAAAAGCTCTAACAATCAGACTTCCAGCCAAAACCCGAAAGCTCGAATGATTAGCTGGGCTTGTTCTTATAAGCTCGGACTTATTCGGGCCGGTTTGAATAAGCCGGTCCCCCTCCTCCGTGTGCTTCCGCCAGCACGGTCACCACTCACCACAACCCTGGGATCGTCAACGCGTTCCCTCAGTCAATCCGCTACACGCGCCACCTCTGCGCGTTCTCCGATATCTCTCCTCCCTTATAGATCTTGTCGTATCACAACCATCGCGCCCAGGAAAGTCAGACGTATATACAGGGAAACACTAATCACAGAGCACTGTTAGCCATCGTAGTTGTTGTGTGGTGGGGAAGAATTCGTTCATATGGGCGAGTTGACTCAGGCGGAGGTGTACTCGCCGAGGACTCAGCAAGTCTGGAGGGCACTGTTGAGCTGGTTGGCCGCCTTCTTCGATCTTCTTCCAAATTATTAGAGCCCTCGGCCACTACCCTTTACTCTCTTTCTCTTCTTCTACTCCTTCCTTTAAGCCTCTGCCCGCCGTTGAGTTGCAGGAAGCTGATTTGCCCCCTGCCTCCGCCGTTGATATCACCGCCGCCGGGTACTCCGGTTTCAACGATCAGCCTGTCCAAAAACTCACGGTAAGAAAGATTTGTGATTCTTTTGAAATTGTTTTCGCTCCTCCCTCTAGCGAATAGAACGAAGGTTTTCGATTGGGCATTGTGTGGGATGCCTGTGTTTGTATTTACGACCCATGATCACCACAAATTTCGTTGGGTGCTAGTAGAATTCATGTTGTTAAGATGATGGGAGGACGATTGACTAGACATCGGGGGTGCCTGATGAAATTTTCTATAAAATGGTTGTCATAGACTCGAATGAACTATTCAAGATGTTGTCCGGCGCGTATAAGATAACTTCAATGTTATTTGACTCTACCAAAGTGAGCACTTTTATAACAATCTGGCTTGGAAAAACCTTCAGTTTTGTGATGTTACAACTGCAGAGGGCGGTAAAATTACTTTTAGCAGATGATGAATATCGGTAACCATACTACTGGGGTGAATCTGCTATCAAAATAAAACAGTAGAATGTAATTGGAGGTAACTTGGTGGCGTGTCCTTGTCCTTTTCAGTTCCATTTCTAACTTAAATGTGGTTCGATTAATTTATGAACATCACGTTTCTGGTGCCCACATAGACAAAGCGTAAATATACCTGTCAGTCCGCCATTTCTTTTGCTTGCTGTCTACTTCTATTTGTTCTATTTATGTTTCTGCTTTTTTCATTCTGTTGTGGTGTTCCTTTTCTGTTCATATTTCTCGATGTCAAGCTAGTTTCACTTGAGCAGCTTATATGATATGTCAATTGGCCTGGTCTTGTTGATATGAGGAATTTTCCAAAGTGGTAAATGGCAAAATACAACTCTTTTAAGGGGCTATGGAAGGATATGAAAGATATGCAACCAATATTTGATTTGTTTGACTAACAAAATAGTATCACACCACTCTGCTGAAGAGAATTAAGTTCTAATACTTGTGTGAATAAGATTTCTTTTAAGTAAAATTGTGAATATAATTTCAAAACACCCTGGTTTCCGCTATTTCATGACTGGTGAAAGTCAAGTAAGATAAGTTATTCCACATCTGATTTGTATTTTCTTTCAATTTCCGCGAGCTGTTATAAGATTTCACCAATTGTTATTCTTTTGCCTTCCCCCCCCCCCTTTTCCTTCTCCCCTGTCTACTTGAATCCCAGATCATATTTTCCTATTTTAACACAAGAATCCTAATGTTAATGTGGATTCTGATTTCCATGTGCATTTGTAGGTAGTACTTGATTTGGATGAAACATTGGTTTGTGCTTATGAGACGTCAAGCTTGCCAGCCTCACTTCGTACTCAAGCAATAGAAGCTGGTTTGAATTGGTTTGAACTGGAATGTATATCTTCAGACAAGGTATGTTACTCGATGTTGCATTGGCTTGTCTAGTGCCATAATATTATGTATTTACTTGAGCATGGTGAACTTTCAAGGAAGGAGATGGAAAACCAAAAGTCAATTATGTTACAGTTTTTGAGCGCCCTGGGTTGAAGGAATTCTTAAAGCAAATTAGTGAGTTTGCTGAGTTGGTGCTATTCACTGCTGGTCTTGAAGGTTTGCATCACAGTTCTGAGCTGCTCATGGGCTTCTTTGTTTTCCTGATGTTTTTGTCATTTTCCCAAATGATATTCATCAATTTATTCTCACAGGTTATGCCAGACCCCTTGTTGACAGGATAGACATGGAAAATTGGTTTAGTTTACGACTTTATCGACCCTCAACAACTAGCACGTAAGTGCTTCTTCCTTGCCTTTCATCCAAAGTCCTACATTTGCTTGATTAATTGTTACAAGAAAATGTTGGGGTCATGGATCATAAAGAGTTATAAAGTCCACTCTATGAATTGATGCTGATCACTAATAATCTCTAATCAGTTATGAATGCGTAATTCAAGCCTCTGGCACTACAAAAATGTGTGAAAACAATGATTGGTATGGCAATGTTATATTGTCGATGAGTATTTTCTGTGCCTCTTTCAAAGAAAGCTAAGAATATTATTTGGAATCATTTTGAAAAATTATTATTTACAAATTTGTGGCCAGTGAGCTTTATCAATGACTCACTAGTCTTATTCTTCAAACATGTTCTCCGATTCAAATTCATAATTTAGTAATATATTTGAGATATGTTTTCAATTTTCCAATTATCATTAACCTTTCTTTCTTGTCCTTTTATTTTCGGTAACATTTTGACTATATAGAGTGATTACCATATTCCGTTGCTATTGTCAATGCTTAATATAGTCACATGATTCCTTAATACTGTTCCCATTCTTTTTTTTTTTTTTAATCAAAGTTAATCTAGAGAACACTGATGGAAAGCCCATTCAATCTGACATTGTGGGTCGAACTTTGTCATATTCAGATCATATTGCTGCACTTTATAAGACATTGTTGATGTTGGACTTGGTTAGCCGGGGGATTACAATGGATATTGTAGGCTAGAAATTTGGTTTTTTCGGGTGAAATCACAATCCTACGAGTGTTAAGATTCCATCCTATCAAATAAACTCCATGTCCTAGAAGTATGAAAATTTCTGAATAAACCCGAGAATAAATAAGCATTTAAATGTAAAATCTTTATAGGCCCGATGACCCTTGGCAATTACAATTTAATAATAATATTTATGGAATATCATATCTAGCCATTTAATAATGTTTACGTAAACCTGAATTTTCAGAAAATTTATTTTAAAACATTGGCTTTCTTAATGCCAATGCTTCCCTTGCCACTGTTAAATTTGATGCCAGTCTGCTTCATAAGTAATTGGAATTTGGAAGAAATATTCGTGCCATTATGGGGTAAACACTGTCGAGAAGAATTCTTATTGATTAATTTCAAGTTACTCAATTCATTCAAGTTCTCTCATCAACTCGCACATTAATCTCTGTTGATTGGCATACAGCGACCACTTGTACATGTGACAGGCAATGTAAGCAATTACAATTTAATAATAACTTTGGAATAACGTAACTAGCCATTCAATAAATCATACATAAACTGGAATTTTCATTATGCCAATGCATTCTTTACCACTGGTGTATGCCAAATTTTAACTGCAGCCTACTTCATAAGTAATTGGAAGAGATTTTGTGCCACAATGTGGGAAAAACTGTTAGCAAGAATTCTCACTGATTAATTTCAAGTTTCTCGATTCATTCAAGTTCTCACATCAACTGGTACATTCATCTCTGTTGACAGGCAATACAGGGAACACGTGAAAGATCTCTCTGGAATATCGAAGGATCTATGCCGAGTGGTTATTGTTGACAACAATCCGTTCAGCTTTTTATTGCAACCACTAAATGGAATTCCATGCATCCCGTTTTTCTGCTGGGCAACCGCATGATACTCAGGTACATATTTCTGAACGTGGAACATTAAAAAATAGCCCAATGATTTTATATGATTCATCTCTTGTTTTTATCGCCTATCATCAGCTTCTAGATGTCATTCTTCCTCTTCTCAAGCACCTCTCTGAGCAGAAGGATGTAAGACCTGTGCTCTACGATAAGTATCACATGCCCGAGTGGTTTCAAAAGCAAGGGATTCCCGCTTCCTGTTGGACATTGTAGGGTTAACATTTTTTGGAATCAAACTCTGCTGCTTTTTGTACAATTTTTTGTTTTATTGCTGGAAGAATCGTTGCAGTAGAAGAAATAGACGTTTTGTATAGCACCCATTTGTTTCTGGGAGAACCAGAGGTCTCAACGCTGCTTCTTGTAGTAAAAGCCGTTCGCCATTTATGTATCTACGTCTCTAGAAGTTTGATTTTTATGTTAAATGTGTTTATAGGCTTGCAATCTGCAGTAATGTAATGAATTTGCCGGTCTCTTGTACAACTGCTTATTTATAATTATTGGCAGTTAAAGCATTCACAACATTGCATTGTTGAACAGTAACAATTGTTTTTATTGTAATGCGGCAGGCTAACTAAACAATTTTTTTCGGATTTCATGGGTAAAGTGGTTCCTCGCTAATTATATTCCGCTAAGATCAATTAGTTTGATACTTATCCTTTGGGATCCATATTCGGATTTCGGACTGACTCCTTCGCACCCTTACTATGTGACATGGCTTCATATTGTCTTTCGTTTTCTCTCCTACTGCAATATGCAATAATTTGAAATGATCTGAGTTGGAGATTTTGCCGTAGTGTACGTTGTACAGTGGTTATCAAAGAAATTAGGTAATTAAGGTTAGCATCCGAAAAGCATGTCTAGTGTTTCCCTGCTTGAAAAAAAAAAAACTGGCCAATGCACTCCCATTCCCAACAAGAAGACCCATCCTTTTACATGACAAAGCTGCCATCCCACTCTGTAACCGTCAGCCGTAGTTATCTTCTCTGTGGTTCCCCCGTGGCCTCATCCCATGCCCTCAGCTCAGGTGCCACCCTCGCTGCTTTCCGCCGCCGCTACCATGGCCCGCCCTTATCTTCCGCTTCATGGCAGGTACCCGGAATGATCATCTTTTGGCGTTGACAGCATTAATAAAAACAAAATTTGTTCGGTCACTAGTTCAACACATCATTTTTTATTAAAAAAAAAAATTAGAAACTCCGGTACCGTTTTTATTTATAAATTTTCAGCAGATTTTTAGCAACAGCTTGTTTCATTAGGCTGATCCGCTACATGGCAAAATGGATGGCATAAACTATTAACATCAAAACTAGAAAGGCATTCCATCTTTAAGTTCATGATAATCACAGTAGGACACTTCAAAACTTCCAATATTTATTGAAGACTATCAACTCGGTATAACAGACATAAACTTTCTTCAAGACTCTTTTTTTTAATAAAAGAAAAAGCTCCTATAATAAAACCAACTTGCATCATTATGTCCTCAGAATCTAACGCGTACTTTCGAGCATGTTGGGTCACTTCATCCTCATGGGCGGATAAAATTAACCACTGTACTTTATGAGATTCGAGAATATCTTCTTCGTCTTCGCTCATCAACTTCATTCATCCAGTCATTGAGCCATAAAAGACCCTTGTAGCCATAATATATGGCCGCAAGAAGGGCCATGAACAGTAAGACAAAAAGAAGAAGCCGTTTCGTAGAAGATGCAATTTTCTGTTCAATGATTGCATTCATCATAGTTAGGGACGAAGGAGGCAGTTGGAAGTTACTGTTTCTTTTAGAGAATTGACATACCTGCAGTTTTGTTGATTGGCTGGACTGCTGTATGCGTTCCCGCCTTTTCCGTCGTTTTGGTACTGACTTTCCAGTCTCGGGTGCTTTTTTCCTTCATTAGTCATACAATTGCATTAGAACTCTTCGCACATTTTGGTACTGATTTTGCAGAAAAGTCATAAAGAATTCTTATGCTTTTCGTCTCTTCCCAGTCTAGGATTCAGGTGAACTATAGTTTGCCAGAGCATCAGAAAATTACACGTACATTTTACCAGTTAGAACTCAGCATAACTTACAGGGTAAGTTATATAAATGTAAAGTATCTCAGTTTCACCACACACCCACATGTTTTTCCAAAATTATTTTTCAGTTCTAGTTGGCTCTGAAATTTTTAATTAATTCACTGACAATGAGAACATGGAAAGCTAAATTTTCA